TCTCCTGCCTCAGCCTCCCGAGTAGCTGGGACTACAGGTGCCTGCCACCATGCCTGGCCAATTTTTGGAGATTTTTTTAGTAGAGATGGGATTTCACCATCTTGGCCAGGCTGGTCTTGAACTCCTGACCCTCGTGATCCACCCATCTTGGCCTCCCAAAGTGCTGGGATTACAGGCATGAGCCACAGCGCCTGGCCCAAAAAAAATTTTTTTGATTAGCCGGGCACAGCTGGGCACAGTGGCTCACACCTTTAATCCCAGCACTTTGTGAGGCCGAGGCGGGCTGATCATGAGGTCAGGAGATCATGCCCATCCTAGCTAACACGTGAAACCTTGTCTCTACTAAATATACAAAAATTAGCCAGGCATGGTAGCACGCGCCTATAGTCCCAGCTACTCGGAAGGCTGAGGCAGGAGAATTGCTTGAACCCAGGAGGCGGAGGTTGCAGTGAGCTGAAATCGCACCATTGCACTCCAGCCTGGGCGACGAGTGAAACGCCACCTAAAAAAAAAGATTAAAACAGCCGGGCGCGGTGGCTCAAGCCTGTAATCCCAGCTCTTTGGGAGGCTGAGGCGGGTGGATCACGAGGTCAAGAGATCGAGACCATCCTGGTCAACATGGTGAAACCCCGTCTCTACTAAAAATACAAAAAATTAGCTGGGCATGGTGGCGCGTGCCTGTAATCCCAGCTACTCAGGAGGCTGAGGCAGGAGAATTGCCTGAACTCAGGAGGTGAAGGTTGCGGTGAGCCGAGATCGCGCCATTGCACTCCAGCCTGGGTAACAAGAGCGAAACTCCGTCTCAAAAAAAAAAAAAAAAAAAAGATTAGCCAGGCATAGTGGCACATGCCTGTAGCTCCAGCTATTCAGGAGTACTTGAGGTGGGAGGAGTACTTGAGCCCAGGAGGTAGACAGAGAGAGACCTTGTCTCAAAAAAACAAAATAATCATTAAAAAAAAAAAAAAAAACCGGGCGCGGTGGCTCAAGCCTGTAATCCCAGCACTTTGGGAGGCCGAGGCGGGTGGATCACGAGGTCGAAAGATCGAGACCATCCTGGTCAACATGGTGAAACCCCGTCTCTACTAAAAATACAAAAAAACTAGCTGGGCGTGGTGGTGCATGCCTGTAATCCCAGCTACTTAGGAGGCTGAGGCAGGAGAATTGCCTGAGCCCAGGAGGCGGAGGTTGCAGTGAGCCGAGATCGCGCCATTGCACTCCAGCCTGGGTAACAAGAGCGAAACTCCGTCTCAAAAAAAAAAAAAAAAAAAACCCTACATTGCCATCCCAGAAAAGCTTTTAATCAAGAACCAGTAGTATTGAACCCACTATTTCAAAAGCATTTTATGGCTGATGACATTGTCACCTTGGACCCTGGGATAGTTTTCCGAAATAGGCAGTCTTGACCTCATTATTAGTCTGTGTTGTTAGGATGTCAGTTGTTGTCTTCATCTAAAAGCCACTTTGAGGTTTTTCAAAGTAGTGGCAGCAACTACTGGACTCCGCCCAGCACAAACCTCACATTATATCCTGACACTGCAGTGTGACACTTCCAGGACTTTTTTTTTTCTTTCTTCAAGAGTCTCGCTCTGTCACCCAAACTAGGGTGCGGTGGTGCAGTCGCAGCTTACTGCAACCTCTAATTCCTGCGCTGAAGCAGTCCTCATATGTTGGCCTCCCAAAGTGTTACCGGAAAGGAGTTCTGGATCTCACGCAAAAAAGAATTTGGGGCAAGTCGATAGAGTAAAAAAATGGCTACTCCATGGGCAGAGCAGCAGTATGGGCTACTGAACTGGGTAAATTTAGTTATTTCTTGATCCATATGCTAAACAAGGGTTAAATTATTCATGAGTTTTCCAGGAAAACGGCAGAGATTTCCCTAGAACTGAGGGTCTCTCCCCTTTTTAGACTAGATAAGGTAACTTCAGGACATTGCCATGGCATTTGTAAACTGTCATGGCACTAGTGTGAGTTTGTTTTAGCATGCTAATGCATTACAATGAGCATATGATGAGCAGTGAGGATGACCAGGGGTCACATTCAAGGCCATACTGGTTTTGGTGGCTTTTGGCTGGCTTTTTTCTTTTTTTTTTTTTTTTTAAGGCAGAGTTTTATTCTTGTCACCCAGGCTGGAGTTCAATGGCAGTCTTGGCTTACTGCAACCTCCATCTCCCAGGTTCAAGCAATTCTCCTGCCTCAGCTTCCCAAGCAGCTGGGATTACAGGTGCCCACTACCACACCTGGCTAACTTTTTTTAGTGGTGACAGGTATTTTTAGTGGTGACAAGGTTTTACCATGTTGGCCAGGCTGGCCTCGAACTATTGACCTCAGGTGATCTGCCCACCCCCGCCTCCCAAAATGTGGGGATTACAGGTGTGAGGCACTGTGCCTGGCCTTGCTGGCTTCTTTTTAACCACATCCTGTTTTATCCACAGGGTCTCTGTGACCTGTATCTTATGTCATCCTCCTAGCTCATACTATAACCAAGAATGCCTAACCTCCTGGGAAGACAGCCCAGTAGGTCCCAGCCTTATTTTACCCAGCTCCCATTCAATATGGGAGGCTCTCTGGTTCAAACCCTGACAAAAGTGCTAAGCTGAGCCACCACACCTGGCCTCAACAGCCTCTTGATTGGTCTCCCTGACTTGTTTTTCCTCACCCCTCACACAATGACCCTATCCTGGTGTACTATAAACCAAAAATAAAATTCTAAGCTCCCAGGCCAGGCGTGGTGGCTTATGCCTGTAATTCCAGCACTTTAGGAGGCAGAGGTAGGTGGATCATGAGGTCAAGAGATAGAGACCGGGCTGACTAACATGGTGAAACTCCATCTCTATTAAAAATACAAAAATTAGCTGGGCATGGTAGTGCATTGCTTGTAGTCCCAGCTACTCAGGAGGCTGAGGCTGTAGAATTACTTGAACCCAGGAGGCAGAGGTTGCAGTGAGCCGAGTTCATGCCACTGCACTCCAGCTTGGTGGCAGAGCAACACTCGGTCTCTGTCTCAAAACAAAACAAAACAAAACAAAAATTCTAAGCCCCCAACCATCTGAATGGAACCCTTCTCTGAGCCAAGGGTATTCCACAGTTAACCTGAAAAACTAGCTCTGGCCATGACAGGAAGGGGAGAGTCAGACATGCCTCATTATATCCTCCTCTTTTTGGAATTCAGACCCAGCTGACCAGTATTAACATCAACACAGAGACAGTAAGGCTGATAGTAACAGAACAGACTCTTTAAGTCTGATAAGACACATTTACAATCTGTTCTCTTTGAAGCCTGGAGGCTTTATTTGCATGATAAAACACTGAACTCCACAACCCTTACTGTTTTTTTTCTTTCTTCTTTTTTTCTTTTTTCTTTTTTTTAATTCTTCCTAACATTCTATCACACCCTTATTGGTTTTTGTTTTTATTTTGAGTCTTGCTCTGTCACCCAGGCTGGAGTTCAGTGGCACCATCTCGGCTCACCGTAGCCACTGCCTCCCAGGTTCAAGCGATTCTCCCACCTCAGCCTCCAGAGTAGCTGGGATTACAGGCATCTGCCACCATGCCCGACTAATTTTTGTATTTTTAGTAGAGATGAGGTTTCACCATGTTGGCCAGGCTGGTCTCGAACTCCAGATCTCAGGTGACCCACCCACCTTGGCCTCCCAAAGTGCTGGGATTACAGACAGGTGTTAGCCACACGCCCAGCCATTCAGGGCCATTTGATGAAGAACTTGGTTGTGGACCATAGATTTGGAAAAAAAAAAAAAAAAAAAAAAAAGTCTTTCTACCATGTTCGAAATATTGGTTGGGGACAGTGAGGCGATGTAAGCATTCAATTAAGCAATAAACCAGTGATCTTTAGGGAGAACCATAGCTTCCTGTAAAACGCATGGCTGAGCTTGTACCAAACACAAGGTTAACGAAGTGCATCAGAGCTTTGTAGTAATTCCACACTATCCCTCGACGAGCCAGGGGATTTGTGTTTCCGTGTCTGTCTTGCATTGGCGCATAGTGGAAGCAACGGAAAATTTGGGGGCAAAGGCACCTGGCTTTGGTCTTAGCCCAGGACCAGGTCCAGGACCGCGCCCAGGCTTGTAACTGGCTGGAATGGACTTCAGTAGGAACCCCACTGGGGGTCAACAGATGACACAAAAGCAGATGTTTGTTCTGTGCAGGACACACGCAAGGGGAGAAGAAAAGGCACACACACACACACACGCACACACAATACCTTTAAGTGTAAACAAGCTTTATCCCACGTAAATGGCAATGCAGATAAAATAAGCAAATTAATATACTAAGCAGATTGATATAATAAGCAAATTGCAATGGGAAGGGGAGAAGAAAAAAGACATATATATATTTACACTCACCAGACTAGGGAGGGCTTACCACCAGACTGGGAAGCAACAGTCTGGGCTCGAGTCAGACATTACACTCACCAGACTATGGAGGATTCACCTCCAGACTGGGAAGCAACGTTCGTGCAGACAAGGAGAGGTCTCCTGAAGCTCTGGCGTGGTCTGGGACCCTCGCTCTTTTGGTAACAAGTTGTTTGGCATGAGGCCCAGTCACGAGGGTCCTTCACCATTTGTCTCAAGGAACATTAAAAGATCTTGTTTTTGCGATTGTTTTTCAATAACTAACCTAGAGGAACAGATTGAAATAGAGATTTCTCCGAAACTTCGCTGGATGAACACCTCAAGGGGCTCACACAACCTGTACGGGACTTGGTGACTGTTGTCCATGTTCAATTGGGTTAAAAATTTAATATTTATCTTTTCCTCCACAGTGTTCAAGTCAACTTTTATGGGCATCTTATTTTACACAAAAGTTAACACAGACAACAGCCACGACTCTGGTCCACGAAACATTCTATCTCCGCCCAGCCTTTACGCAAAAGCACTCAGCGCCAAAAGCTGGCCGACCGTGCCCCAGGCGGCCGCCGCGCCCGCTAACCCCGCCCCCGTCGCGGGTTCCTTTCCGTGCGTCCTTGCTATTGGCTCGTTTCCGGGCGCCTTCGGTTGCCGTGAGACGGAGGCGATGGCAACCAGGAGAAGCCAAACTTGGTCACCTGGTTCACGGCGTGCCGGGGCGCGGAGCTCATGGCGCTCTACGAGCTCTTCTCTCACCCCGTAGAGCGCAGCTACCGCGCGGGACTCTGCTCTAAAGCCGCGCTGTTCCTGCTGCTGGCCGCGGCGCTCACGTACATCCCGCCGCTGCTAGTGGCCTTCCGGAGCCACGGTGAGCCTGCCCCGGCCGTTGTGCCACGCGGCTCCCCGGGCGCGCTTGGCCGGGGCCGGCCTCCCTGACTGCCTCCCCACCCTCTTTAACTCAGGGTTTTGGCTGAAGCGGAGCAGCTACGAGGAGCAGCCGACCGTGCGCTTCCAGCACCAGGTGCTGCTCGTGGCCCTGCTGGGACCTGAGAGCGGCGAGTTCCTATCTTGGAGCACGTTCCCCGCCTTCAACCGGCTGCAGGGGGATCGCCTGCGCGTCCCGTTCGTTTCGGTGCGTGGTTCTCGCCTGGGCCTGTGGCAGAGAGGGGGATGGGGTGGGAACGGGGAAGGGAATGGGGATGGGGAGCTAGCGGCCCCGGCCCCGGGGAGCCCAGCTTGGATCCTAAGGACTCGCGAACCCTCAGAGGTGGGACGTTTCATCTCCTAGGGCCTAGGGATCGATTTGATCTTCTGTTTCAGTCAGCTTCTCCCAGACGTACCCGGCCCCCGGAAAGCCAAGCTGTCAGCGTGTGCGCCCTGACACAGTGTCCAGAGGCCTGGGGGCAGCCTGCCTCTGTCCCGGTCACACCTGCAGTCCTGGCCTAATGGAAGGTGTTTGTGAAAGTCCTTTTAGGAGCCTTGAAGGCCGCGCGCTGTTAATGTAGGTAACCCAAAGCTGTCGCGGCGTTTGCATCACAGCAGTGTAGGAACGGAAAGGGCGGCATTTTTATGCTGAGCCCTGGAAACCAAGCGGCCTTCCAGAACGAGCTCTGGCCGAGTCACGCCCCCTGGGCTTGTCCCCTTAGAGACTGCGCCATCCTGCAGCTGTCCGGGATGAAATTGAAGCATCTTACTGTCTGTAATTTATTTATTTATTTTTAAACTTTTTTCATCAGTAGAGTACTCAGAGGAAACTGTAATTTAGTATTTACTTTGAGAGATTATAAAGAAATGCTTCCTTTATAATCACTCCCTTTCACTGATTTTCTGAAAACATTTTCCTTTAGAAGTATGAAACTTCTGGTTTTCCTTCTTTTAAAGCCAAATCTCTTCAGACATGTCTAAGATGATTGATCGGCCTACAAACCAAACATGTATAGCTGAGTATTACAGAGTTACAGGTAGACATTATAGAAATTGAAGGCTTAATTATTTATATACATATATATATATATATATGTATATATAAAAACTTGTTAATCAGCCTTCTTCTTTTTGAGGTCTCCAGAGTATTTCACATCATGAAACAGCAGTACTGTATTTAACCAGTTCCCTGTTGCTGGATATTTGGCTTACTTTGACTTTTTCACTATTAGAGACTATATATGTGTGTGTGTGTGTGTGTGTATATATATATATTTTTTTTTTCTTTGAGACAGAATATTGCTCTGTCACCAAGGCTGAAGTGTAGTGGCATGATCTCCGCTCTGCTTAAGGGCCCAGACCAATGGCTTTTAGTTGCTTTTATGAATTGTTTGTTTATTTTTTATTTTTTTGAATTGTTGGTTTGTTTATTTTTTTTATTTTGAGACAGGGTCACCCAGGCTGGGGTGAAATGGCACAATCTTGGCTTACTACAGCCTCTGCCTCCCAGGTTCAAGAGATTCTCCTGCCTCAGCCTCCCGGGTTGCTGAGATTACAGGCTCCTGCCACCATACCCAGCTCGTTTTTGTAATCTTCGTACAGACAAGGTTTTACCATGTGGGCCAGGCTGGTCTTGAACTCCTGAGCTCAAATGATCTTCCCACCTCAGCCTCCCAAAGTGCTGAGACTACAAGCGAGAGCTGCCTGGCTGAATTGGGTTTTTTTTGTTTTTTGTGGTTTTTTTCCCGAGGCGGAGTCTCGATCTGTCACCAGGCTGGAGTGCAGTGGCGTGATCTCGGCTCCCTGCAACCTCTGCCTCCCGGTTCAAGCTGTTTTCCTGCCTCAGCCTCCCGAGTAGCTGGGACTACAGGCACATGCCACCATGCCCGACTAATTTTTGTATTTTTAGTAGAGACAGTGTTTCACCATGTTGGCCAGGATGGCCTCCATCTCTTGACCTCGTGATCCACCAGCCTCCCAAAGTGCTGGGATTACAGGCATGAGCCACCACACCCGGCTGAATTGGTTTTTTTGTTGTTGTTGTTTGTTTTCGTTTTTTTTGAGAGGAGTCTCGCTCTGTCTCCAGGCTGGAGTGCAGTGGCGCAATTTCGGCTCACTGCAACCTCCTTCGCCTTCCGGGTTCAAGCAATTCTGCCTCAGCCTCCTGAGCAGTTGGGGCTATAGGTACATGCCACCATGCCCAGCTAATTTTTGTATTTTTAGTAGAACGGGATTTCACCATGTTGGCCAGGATGGTCTCCATCTCCTGACCTCGTGATCCACCCACCTCAGCCTCCCAAAGTGCTGGTATTACAGGCGTGAGCCACTGCGACCGGCCTTTTTGTTTTAATGCTGTATCACCAACATGTTTGATGGCACAAAGGACCATTGAGTTGGCACAAAGAGTTGCATAGAAAAGTATGGATATTCCTAACTGAGTTAGTGTTACTGAATATTACGAGAGTATAAAGACGTTTGAGGAATCCCTGGATCAACTTATTTTGCTTATATTTTTCTAAGTAAATAAACATATGCTATAAATATGTCTAAATCTAAAAGCTCTTTCAGTAACTTTTTAAAAGTAAGTGATTAGAAAAGTATCATAGTTTGGCTGGGCGTGGTGGCTCATGCCTGTAATCCTAGCACTTTGGGAGGCCGAGGCCAGTGGGTCGCCTGAGGTCAGGAGTTTGAGACCAGCCTGGCCAACATGGTGAAACTCTGTCTCGAAAAAAAAAAGAAAAGTATCATAGTTTAATTGGAAATATGTTCCTTTTCTCAGTGGTATGTAAAATAACGGTTCATTTTATAATTAATGGTATCTTAGATTGATTGAAATACAAAGCTGAGCACAGTGATTCATGCCTATAGTCTCAGCACTTTGGGAGACTAGCTGCTTGAGCTCTGGACCACCCAGGCAATGTGGTGAGGTGGCCTGACCCTACAAAAATTTAACAATTAATCAGGCATGGTGGTGCCTGTAGTCCCTGCACCTCAGAAGGCTCAAATGGGGGGATCACTTGAACCGAAGAGGTCAAGGCTGCATTGAGCTGTGATCATGACACTACACTTCAGCATATTTTTGACCCTGTATCCAAAAAAAAAAAAGGAAAGAAAGAGAAAAAAGAAATACAGCTAGATTAATGAAGTAGCAGTTTCTACTTTGCTGGAGACCAAAAACTGGTGCCAAAGAGTATTTTCAGCATAAAAAGAAAGGAGCACCCAGTGATGTCAAGCATATGGTGAAATAGACACTCGTTTAAAGTAGGAAATTAACCTTTAATAAAATAATATGGGCCGGGCACAGTGTCTCACGCCTGTAATCCCAGCACTTTGGAAGGCTAAGTTGGGTGGATCACCTGAGGTGGGGAATTCAAGGCTAGCCTGGCCAACATGGTCAAACCCCTTCTCTGCTAAAAACATAAAAATTACCCAGCCGTGATGGCAGGTGCTTGTACCAGCTATTTGGGAGGCTGAGGCACGAGAATTGCTTGAATTTGGGAGGCAGAGGTTGCAGTGAGCTGAGATCGCACCACCAAACTCCAGCCTGGGCAATAGTGCCAGACTGCATCTCAAAAAAAAAGGAAAAAAATGACTTCAATGAATGAAAAGTATGCAAACAAAACAGAAACCAAACAAAATTCCAACAAACCATCAGAGGCTGTAGAATTCCTGACAGGAAAAAAGTCACACATAGGATACTCTGGCACTTAAATTTCTGGCAATTCCTGCAGTCAGATGGGGTACTGATAGGAGATACTGATCAGCTCCAAACCCACCCTCAGCTTCCGGGTTCGTGCTGAGATTCTGGAAACCACCTTCTCCTGCAGCTCCCTGTTGGGTTCTAACAGTAGGAGGCATGATGAGCCTTGTTCTGGGAGTGCAAAAAAGAGAAACCAGTTGCCATGCCAGGGTGAAGAACCACTGCTGGGGTGACACAAACAGGGACAACCTGCAAACCGGAAGGAGCAAGACGCCTCTCCAGCCTTCCAGCTTCCCTTTAGCATCCTTCCTTCAAGCTCAGAGGTCCTGACTCCATCTGGGCAGCACTTCCTTCTCAAGATCTGAGGCTCAGCTCTTTGAGGACTCTTCCCTAAATCTCTAAGTTCTATCAATCCTACCCACTTCCCCTACTTCTCTAGTCCTAGGCGTGGGAACTGTTCCTTGTAGCTACTATCTCTGTTGCGGGGATACCCTTTTTACGTCTTCAGTCCCCTAATACCTGTGGAACTAGTTACTCCCTATGTTGAATTCCCTCTGGCCAGGTGCAGTGGCTCACCCTTGTAATCTCAGCACTTTGGGAGGCCGAAGCAGGCAGATCACCTGAGGTCCAGAGTTTGAGAGCAGCCTGGCCAACATGATGAAACCCCATCTGTACGAAAACAAAAATTAGCCTGGCATGGTGGTGTTCACCTGTAATCTCAGCTACTCAGGAAGCTGAGGCAGAAGAATCACTAAAACTGGGGTGGCAGAGGTTGCAGTGAGCCGAGATTGTGCTACTGCACTCCAGCCTGGGCAACAGAGCAAGACCTCGTCTCAAAAAAAAAAAAAAAAATTCCCTCTGACTCTGCTTATTACATGAATATGGATTTCATGTATATCTCTAAAGGGTTATCCTCCTTTAGCCACAAGAAATCTTTGAAATTAGAGTTCTTATGAGCTATTGTAGAAGAGCCCTGAATCAGGAGTGAGCAAACCAAGGTTGTAGTCCCAGTTCTATCACTGGGTTTTGTAACCTCAGCCTCGATTTAGTTATCCATATACAGGGCGTGAGAGCACCCACCTCTCTCCTGGGATATGCAGAGGGATCACATGGGATAATCAATGGTTATAAAAATTGTTCCAAAGCCCGCATATATCTCATAGACATAAGGCGGTAGTATGACTTGTCAATTCTCTTCTCTAAACACCAAGTTGGAGGTTAGATAGTGACCTAGAATTTGTGTTAAAGAAGCAGTAAGCCTTTGAATCCCTGCCTTTGTTAACTGTTGCACATATGTTAAGCTTACTTTCAACTAAATGGAATTAAATAATTGATTTCTTCAGTGGTCCAAGCAATAACAGAGAAGCATAGCCAAACTTTGCCAGCCCCAGGAGAGTGAGAGTCTAGCTTGGCAACAGGTCATTTGTGGGAGACATCCTTTCCATTGTCATTTCTCTTCCCCCTCTCTCCACTCTGCTCTCCTTTTCACTCACTCTGCCAGATGCACT